CATGCCAATGTGCATTGGCTCGTTTAGTTTACACTCGAAGTAGATTGGTCTCTCTAAGCGAGATCCCAATTTCGTCGGTCATCCGACGTGACGTCGAGAGTGACCGACTGAAAGGGAACTGACAGCATCCCACTTGAATTCCTTGATATTAGCTTGAAAATAACTCAAAATATTTCTTCTCAGAACCAAATTCATTACATTCATGTACAAACAATTGTCCAGGAGGGTTACATTTATGCATTGCATCCCTTTTAAAACTGATGATGCTGCCCCATCGTCATCATCATCATCTCAGCACCATTTGCATCTCATTGTATCCCATCACCCTCATGTGAATGATAAGTAACTGCATGAATCCCTCAGCTTGTGTTTAACTCACTACTGCAGCACTTCACATATCACACTGCTAGTTACAAAGCAAATTAATTATCACTACTTTTATATTCAGTAGAGTTGTCTGCACTGGAAAGCTAATCCAGCCACTTATGTTCCCTATATTTCTGAAATAAAATTATTTTACTTACACATGTATCATATGTGTTAAGTGATTGTTATGAATTCATTGATTATATTATCTAACTTTAAATTCATTTATGTTTATATAATTTTTTTAATTATTTAAATAATTCTCACTTTTTCACACCACTGTATATTTACACACACACACACACACCGATGAGCCATTACATTATGACCACCTATCTAATAATCTGTAGGACCTCCTTTAGCCCACAAAACAGCAGCAATGCAGCAAGGCAATGATTCGATGAGGTGGCCATAGGTCTCGGGTATCTGGTACCATAATGTCAACAGCATGTCCAGTTCCCGTACATTGTGGGGTGGTGGTGGTGATGTAGCACGAACCCGCTTTTTGATTGGGTTCATGTCAAGTGAATTTGGAGCCAAGGCATTAACAGAAATTCACCATCATGTTCCTCATACTCCTTGACGATTCTGGCAGTGTGGCATGGCGCATTATCCTGCTGGTAAAGGGGCCTAAAGTGTCCCAAGAAAACATGACCCACAGCATAACCGGCCTGTGTTCACCCAACAGCGCATCCAGGTGCCATAGCCCCTGTTGATAATCGGTGAGTCTGCGATCGGCCGTCACCGTGATGCACCAGGAATCTTGATTCATCAGACCAAGCCACTTTCTTCCAATTATCCATGGTCCAATCTCGATGGTCCATTTCATGCTTTGTTGGCGATGGCGTGCAGTTAGCATGGGGACCAGGCCAGGTGGTCGGCTACACAGGCCCATACGCAGAAGGCTGAAGCGATGACGCACTACAAGTGCGTCGTTTTTCCATATCGAAGTTCTGAGGCGCTGTGCCATCACAATTTGTTTGTTATCAAACACCAATAAATTGGCAGCTTTTCTCATTCTGACACCGAACACTGTACTGACCGAAAGCCAGTACTCGGGTGGTATATATACTGCTCTGTGAACTGCATCTGTGGCACCATTCGGTTGCCAGTTGTGGTCATTGCTCTAGGCTGGGGGTGGTCGTAATGTAATGGCTCATCGGTGTGTGTGTGTGTATAAAATATTTTAAAATCTAAATTCTTAGATTACATATTGCTTCGATGCTTCCAGTGTAGATGACTGAAATGATTCAACACTGGATGTATCCAGTATCGATCCCCTGTTGTAGACAAAAAGACTGAATACAGTAGCAGATGTGCTTCAGGATTTCTTTACAAGGGGGCAATAGAGTCCCTCCTGATCACTGATTTGCTGTTTGTTTCCTGTTTGGTCATCGATGATTTATCAGGATTCAGAGGAGGAGGATCCTGACATGGATTCAGCCTTCACCCATTCCAACGATCCAGGCCTCGGGTCTCTGGAACTCCAAAACTTCAAGCCTTACATCCCAGAGGATTTTGCCAACTTTGAGGTGTACAATGCCAGCCTTGAGACCCAAGATGGGGCCATATGTGTGCAGGGAGAGATGGCGCTGGGGATCGGAGAGTTAACAGGGACACGGACTGTGGAAAAAGAAGTGTCCCGTAGTCCCACGGCCAGCTCATGCACGAGCGGCTACTTCTCCCATAGTGCCTCGGACGCCACGCTGTCCGACGTGCTCCTCAGCGGTAGCGATAGTTGCGACCAGCTCAACAGCAGAGAACCTGCAGACCCTCAGGAAGCACTGCACGGAAGAGGGTTGCATCCTTCCAGAAGTGCCTTGGGATCCTGTCCGGCCCAGACCATTCCCACTCAGCCCTGTTCCCGTCACTGCACTGACCGGGACTGTTCCCCTCAGCTTCCCCGCAAATGTATCCTGAGCGTCAGTCAAGAATTCACGGACTTTAAGGGTGCAGATGATGGTGTAGGAAAAGAAGACCTTGGTAACATCAGATGGAAGGCGGAATCGATTCCCCCAAACTTTAAGGGTGTAGATGATAGCGTAGAAGAAGACAACCTTGGTAACATTGGATGGAAGGCGGAATCGATTCCCCCAAAATTTAAGGGTGTAGATGATAGCATAGGAGAAGACAACCTTGGTAACATCAGATGGAAGGCGGAATCGATTCCCCCAAACTTTAAGGGTGCAGATGATGGCATAGGAGAAGAGAACCTTTGTAACATTGGATGGAAGGTGGAATCGATTCCCCCAAACTTTAAGGGTGCAGATGATGGCATAGGAGAAGAGAACCTTTGTAACATTGGATGGAAGGTGGAATCGATTCCCCCAAACTTTAAGGGTGCAGATGATGGCATAGGAGAAGACCTTGGTAACATTGGATGGAAGGCGGAATCGATTCCCCAAGGCATGGATCCCCTGCCCCAGTGCCATCTCCACAATGGGAAAGAGTCTCCCAGTGTCCCAGCACCATACGCCAACCCACAGCTGGAAAAAAGTCAAGGACTCGAGTCCTTTGCGGATGTAGAACCTTCGGTGGACTCTAGCGAGGACGAGAACGGACCAGTTGCTCAGTTGCCGGACTGGATGGCCCCCGGTGAGCAAGTTTGGGTGGGCAAAAGGAGTGGGACGGTGCATTATGTTGGAGGGGTAGAGTTTGCCAAAGGCATCTGGGTTGGAGTAGAGCTGGACCTTGCTGTAGGTAAGTGAGCTTTTCCCTGTCTTGCTCTTTGACGCTGAATCCCATCTCAACTCCTTGTAACCTTAGACCTTTCTCGTCCTTCCATAGGCAAGCACAATGGTACAGTCCAGGGAAGGGTGTACTTCCGGTGTGCCACAGGTCATGGCGTCTTCGTGAAGCCATCCTGTTTGACTCGAGGACCTCCGTCCATAGACACCGAACCTCAACCTGTGCTTCAGTAGGAGCAGGACATTTACCCAATAGTTTGTAGACGATCTCTTCGGCACCAGCACCAGGGACTGCCTGGACAAACCAAGTGCTAACAGAATCCATCCTTCTGATTTGTTCATCACGTTAGAGATTTGTTGGTTCCTCTGATTCCATGGCAATAAACCCAACCTGTGTGTCTTGTGTTGAAGTTATAGGCCTATTTCAGTATCGTCTTTGAATGTCGAGAGTTGCACAGTTGCACAAACACGTTTTATATATCATGTATAGCTGTAATACTTACATCCATCTTGGTTAATTGGTTACCACTTCTTATATGACTAAATGTATTAATCGAATGATGCCTAACTCTACTATACTTTAAGTGAGTTTGAGATTTGGATGTCTGTTCAAGGTAAGAATGTACTACTGTTTATGACCATTTTGTTTGCGTGATTATATCAGGTATTACCAAAGACATAGCCTTTCAAATCTGCTGTTCAAACTTCTTATGTAGATTACTTTGGCGACGTGTTTTATGCTTGTGTACTTTAATATGTGTTCGACCGATTTATGCTAATATGCTAAGTGCCATATTTCTGGTTGGAAGGTCACATGCCCATCAGAACTTCAAAATTGTGGTCAATTTTGTTTTAGATTTAATAGTATTTTGATTGGACGGCAAGCCAGTTGCTCGTACTCTGTTGCGTTACTGGCTTGTTGAGTACTGTAACTGTTGAAGGACTGCCGATATTTCTGTTAACAGAGCTGTCTGAACGCTTGCACTGGAGTAACTTATCCTGGATGCACATTAAGTTACGTAATGCAGACTTTTACGCATTCTCAGATACTGATTTGACGCTTCTCAGGAGGTTGACGGAAGTGAGGTCACCCCTGATGTGGAGAGCACCTTGTTTTCTTTATCAGACCCTTGCCGGTAGGGAGCATTTTTGCCAAACGCAGATATCCTGGTCTACTTTGTATCGGCTATAGACCAGAAATGCCCTAAAGTACTGACACAAGCCCTGTTCATGAATGGGGTCTTTTTAGATAGTCGACTTCTAGGTTCACCCACCTAATAAAGAAGCTTTCGAGCATTTAAATCCATGTGTGTTTGACTGTTGAGTAGGATTTTTATTAGTTTGTGATACTAAAGCCAATATTGTTTTTATAGGTATAAATGGGAGATGGGCAATATCGGGGAATGGGACATAGCCTGAATAATGCTAGTATGTTTAGTGCCATGACCGGTGCTGTTATTATTGCTCTGTTTTACCTGAAGAACTGTGGATCTCATAAGAAGTGAATACTATTGCTGTCAATGGAGACGGTAAAATGAAAACTCAAGACCTTACTTAAAAGAAAACAAAGCTGCTCTCCTTGACAAGGAGCTGTACATAAAATGTATGAACATAGTATTTACAATATTATAAAATGTACAGAATTGTATTTATATTGTATCTCTGCAGATGTTGGTACAACGATGTTGTAGAATACAGAACGTTTACAAATGCTTTTGTGTGTGTTTTCTTCCTTTGTATGACATATTATTGGTTGTTTTTCATTTGATTTGAGAGGCTTGCTCATAAAACTTTGGGTGAACTACTGACTTATCATGGTATAGATGATATAATAATTGTACTAAAGCATAAACAAAGTTTATTTGCATTTGTTGCAGAAATTTTTTACATTTAAAGACTAAATGCTCAAGGATACAATTATTCATTGATTATCTTGGGATTTTTTTTCACTGATATAATCTTCAACCACAGTGTAGTTTCACTACAAAAACTGCACGCCCTGAATTCCGTTCATTAGTACTCAGATTTAGACAAATTCAGTGCAACATTTTTTAAAGCAAATTGTCTTAATAAATGAATAATAATTTGAAGGAAGTGACTGCAACATGTGCATTTTGACAAGAGTGTGCTGTACTGACTCTTATGTTTGATTGATTGGCTGATTTCATATCTTCCCCAGAAGTAGGTTGTCAACCCTGAGTCTGACCTTTGACCTACATTATCATGTTGAGTTACTGGGTCACTAGGGCTGTGTCTGAAATCACATGTTGTGTCACTGCCATTCATAAATCCTCTCCCGTAGCCTCATGAGATTGTAAAGTATCCATCATACGCACACGTCAGAATTGCGCCGGAAGCCGTAGGTCATCCGTGGTACTTTATGCCTGCTCTTTTACGTGGTACTGTGTATTCTGACATACACTACCAGTCAAAAGTTTTTGAACAGTAAGATTTTTAATGTTTTTTTAAAGAATTCTCTTCTGCTCACCAAGCCTGGATTTAATTGATCCAAAATTCAGCAAAAGCAGTAATATTGTGAAATATTTTTACTATTTAAAATAACTGCTTTCTGTTTGAATATATTTTAAAATGTAATGTATTTCTGTGATCAAAGCTGAATTTTCAGCATCATTACTCCAGTCTTCAGTGTCACATGATCTTCAGAAATAGGGATGTAACGATTAACCGCAAGCCGGTTGAAAATCGGTTCAAATATGTGACGATTCAAATCGGTTGAGATGCTAAATAAATCGCGATTCAATTAGCGTTAGGAGTTTATAAGAATCCATGTCTGAGGGGAACTTACTGTCTTTAGAAAAGTTTAGATGGTATTTTTTCTTTTCATCTTGCCTCTGTATAAAGCATATTAAAGTTCATAAGTGCCATGCTGCTTTGTTTACAGCGGAAACCAAGGAAACGCTTTAAGCGCCACCTGCTGGCAGAGAGTGAATCTGCATCTCATTCAGCTCCGCTGT